AACCAGCTGAGGAGCCTCCAAAACCAGCTGAGAAGCCAAAGGCAGCTGAAAAGGATAAAGAAGAACCAAAGCCCACTGCTTCACCAGAAAAGGTATAATGTAGATCAACTCTCTTTATCTTTATAAATGTCCAACTTCCTGGGGAGTAACAGTGTTCTTGTTTTCAGACGACACCTGAGAAAATTTGCCACCCATAGTAGTCCTCTTATTACCACTTAAAATTGCTTTTAATTCTTGCAAAATTATCCAGTTAAAGGATTGATAACAGTTTGAAAATCTATAACTGTCATGCCTAAAATAGGGGAGAACACAGGAGTAGAGGTGCGTAAGATGATTTAAAGAAATTGGGCAATTTAATTGAGGCAGGATTACACCAAGGACATTTCAACTTCCTCTAAAGAACCAGGGCTAAATTGTTTAAACAGGAATTTAGAGTCAATAACATATTCTGTCTTAGAGCTGATTCATCCTCACCTTTAAGTTAATTTTAACAGGTGATGATTAAGTATGATAGTTTTTTGGAAGATAATTATGGTAGAACTCTGCTAACTCGAGCTCCCATCGGAAACAGAAAACAGGTTGAGGTAGCTGGAGTTTGAGTTATGGGGTGGTGTTGAATATCAAAATCAACAGCCATTTTTGTACACTTAGTTTCTTTTATTAGAGATTTTTTGATATGACTGTTTAGTTTGGAAAGTTTAGCTAAAGGTAGTATATTTTCATAATTGCAATTAAAGATTAGGATATATCGTTCAGCTACTGGTATGTCCTGGCTCTTGGACGTTTATGGGGTGACATTTTTTTTTATTAAAGTCCAAGTTATCAGCCAAGGGAAAGTAAAATTATTGTGAGAGAATAGGGAGTTCAAATTAACTGAGTTCAAGTTAGCTGAAGACAATGTCAAATACAGGGGAAATTGGATCCTGTTCAAATTAGCAGGGGGTTTGAGGTAACCAAGGTTGAGTCAAAGAGGTTCTACTGTCAGTAGTAAGAAAAAAGCAAAAAGATAGAAAATTCACTTTTAATCTTAATGGCTCCCCTTTGCAGAAGGCTCCAGCAAAAGAACCTGAGGACAGTGAGAGTGAGGAAAGCGATGTTGGTTAGTCTTACAGTTTTGATGCAGTATTTTCTTTGGCACTTTGTACATGAGATTTTCAAAGATGGTCAATAGATAACATGAAATTCCTTGCTTATGACTGCATGAAAATATTTCCTTTCTAACTTTTGAACAGAAATTGACAAAGAAGGATGTCTTGAACCAGACAATGATGAACCTCAGCAAATGGGAGATGCAAGCATTGAAGTAATATTTCTCTTTTGAACGTTAAATTATTTTGTTCCCATGAAGTATTGAATAATAGACAGATTACCAAGCCAGGCTATTTTGAGTCAATATTTTTCTCAGGTATAGGGTATTGTGAAAAATTAACATTCCTTGTTAGACTGCTCAGTGTTTTACAAGCAGCCACCCTTGTCAAAATGGTTGTATTTCCAAATGGCCTTCTTTTCACAATTAACCCTTTACCTCCCATGAGTGACCAAGAGAGAATTTCTCCTTACAATATCAATACAATATTAAGCATAGAAGTGATGAGAATAAAGTAAAATACCAATCAGGGGATAATTAGTTGATCCAATACCAAATTCTCCAAATTGACATCATAAGAATTGTATGGCAGACAGTAAGGAGAATTACTAATAAAATCTTGGGAGTTAAAAGGTGAAATGAAATTATCCATGTTGGTGTCCTGTAAAATGAAGAAATGGCAGCAAAGAAGCCTGAACTTTTTCAGGCTTTGACAGTATATGAACTTCTACTTCCTGGATACTAGTTGGGCACTAGTACCACCTTAGCCAGGAGGCCACATGTTGGAGCAAGGAAAATAAGGCTTCATTTGCACTACCTTTTTTTTTTGAAAATGGAACAAGTAATTAACCCTACTCACTTTCAGAGTGATTTAATGACATGTTTTCCCAAAATTGGATTTATTTCCTCCTTACAAGTTAAATGCTATTTAAACCATACGTGGTATGTTATGCTACTTTCATTTTGGAGTGCATTTCTGTTGAGTGTCTTAAATCAAGAGCACAGTAATCACAACAGCCAAACAGAATAAAGGAAATAATTTAACAAGCTACTAATGAGAACTGAAAATAAAAACAAGCAAACTGCCTGAAATTTAGGGAAACATGAGTAACAAAATTGTGATTGGTTTTAGATTTTAATCTGAGGGGTTCAGAAAAAGGCTTACTTAATATTTAATTTTCTGATCTGATCACTGAGCAAAGTGAAACATTCGAACACTCCAAAAAAATTGCCCCTTTGTCTTAGTTATTGAACTAATAAGATGGGTTGATTTCTAAGGTTACAGATGAAATGAGGGAGGAATCCTCCACAAAGAGAATGGAAGCTATTGCAGCAATGAATGAAGGTTTGTCTGCTTTCTTAGCAGCTAGTAAAAAACATTTCACAACTGAATTTGCATGAGTCTCCAATTGGACAACTTGTGTTGTTGTTCTCAGTGTCCCTCTCCTCCCAGGAGTAAAATGCTGGCTTGTAAGCTGACTTGGCCTGTTTTTCTTTTTTTTTCTTACACTGATCAAAATGTTTCCTCTCCTTACAGGAAACTTGGATGAGGCACTCAAGCTTTTTACTGAAGCTATTGTTAAGAATCCATCTGCAAGCATGTATGCTAAACGAGCAAGGTATAAATTTATAATTTATGACTAAGTTTTCAACAATTAATTACTTCTTGAGCCATTGCATCATATGAAAATGAGAATGGGAAATAACTTTTTGTAATTGATTCCTTTTAATGGCATTATTTCCAGTTGTTTTATTCGCATGAAGAAACCAAATGCAGCCATTAGGGACTGTGATGAGGCTGTAAAGATCAACCCTGACTCTGCCCAACCGTACAAATGGAGAGGACGAGCACACAGGTTGGTATCAAATTGTTCTATTCTTTTCCTATAGTTCTTGTCTAAACTCTATGAAATGTTACACCTTTATTGGATCAGTGATTATTTAATCTCACTGTTAAAAAAATGAGGCCTGAACATTTCTTGTTGGTGAGCACAATTTTACACGTCGAGAAAGCATCATACCTACATATCTGTTTCCTTCCATTCTGATATTATCAGTCAGTGGGAAAACCGCAATCACTGGCTGTACTTTTTAAGTAGTAACCTTGTGGTACCACCAAAGAAAATTCCTTTTTCAAGATCCTCTTTTTTCAAAACCATCCAAATCAGGACAGCTGTTTGTCTCAGACTTTTGGGTTGTCAGTTAATCCAAAATCCCAATGTCTTTCAAACCTAACAAAATATGTTCAATGTATTGTTGTCAAGACTCCTGGGTCATTGGGCAGAGGCAGCCAAGGATCTTGCCATGGCATGCAAACTGGATTTTGACGAACAAACTGATGAGTGGCTGAGGGAAGTGAAACCAAAGGTAATGATTTTTTTAATATTTTTAATTCGTTTTTTTATTTAAAATAATTTAGAGATAGAAAGATTATGGGCAATTAACAATTGCTCTTGAGAATTTTAACAAATCTCTTAGTTTATAGGAGAAAAAAATTCTGTCCATTTGTTGACTGTCTTTCATTACAAAGTTATTGTTAGTACAAGTGTATAAATTTACATTTATTTACTGATTGATTTGAATTTTTTTTTTCTTGTGTGCATGTGATACCTAAATTGTTTTCTCTATTTACTATCAACATGTTAAAAAGCAAACCAAAAACAACTTTTTTCTGTATGTAGTGGTTATTACTCACTTTCTTCATTCAATTTTCGAAGAATTTTGGGGGGGGGAAATATCGAAGCTTCAAATTGATTGGTGCATAATGTTAATTGGATAGATTGGCTTATGTTAACTCTCAATATTGTAGGCTGGCTATTTTACTTATTTTAATGATCATTAGTTTGATCTTAACTGTTTAGAGATTTGATTAAGCATTTTGTCATTGTGATTTACATAGGCACAACTTCTACTAGAGCATCAGAGAAAACAGGAACGGAAACGTCTGGAGAAAGAAGAGAAGAAGAAAGAAGAGAAGAAAAAAGAAGAGAAGAAGAAAGCAGACATGTAATAGGATAAAGACTTTTATTATATAAACTTTTGTGTTTTGCAAAGAGTTCCAGCCCTGAGAGAAAGTGCAACTGAACATGTGTAAAACTACAACAATTTTTTACTTGTGATTGATATTACCAGTCAGGTTGTTAGGTTGATGAATGAATGACAAAGCATTCACTATTCTCAATCCAAGGTCACTTGTTAACTTTCCTTGTCAGAAAAGGCTTTTGGTGTCTTTACAATAAACAGAGTTGTTGTTCTTATGTTCAACGCAAAGAGGAATTCCATATCTATGCATGCTCATGTGTCTTTCTCCCTATGTGCAGTTATCTTTTCTGTTTTGTCATTGATTTGTACAGCTGTAATTTGGCTATCACGTATTGATCTACACTTTGTTTTTAACATTCCTCTCATCAGGAAAAAGATGAAAGAAGCTCAAGAAAAAGCTAGGAGGGTAAGTTGTCTCCATAGGGCCAGTCTTTGTAGTTTTTAGAGCAATTTTGAACCAAGTGTTGAAAGGTATTTGAGATTGCTGTCAGTTGTTTTGGCTTAAACCTTAAATAACAACTCTTCTCTTACAAGAAAAGTTGCAAGAGAGTGTAAATGAAATCTATTCTATAGCTAAACCAGATCTTGTCCCCATAAGGGGTAGGAAGGGGCAATATCATCACCAACTAATTAATCATAGAACGATCTCAGATATAACAAAAATGGCTTTTACCTGAACCAGAACCCAAAACAAGCACACTCAGATTATCCAAAAGTGTCATTCTAAATTTCTTCAAGTTTTTTTGAGTTTGTTTAAAATCTATGAAGGTCACCAACTGCTCTTTATTCAATTTCCTGTTATCAAGAGCATAGCTTCTTACGCGAGTTTTCGCTCATGCTCTTTCCTATACTTCCTCTTACCTTAACAGGAAGAAGAGGAAAGACAAAAGAGGCAACAGAGGCAAAAGAGGCCACAGGAGGGCACAACAATGCGTGGTGGCTTTCCACCTCCTGACCTAGGGGCAGACCTTGGGGAAGACGCATTCCCTCATCCTGAGCCAGGAGGAGCAGCCCCTGGAGGTATTTATTCTGACAATTCTATCAGAAGACATCCTTTTTACTGTTGAATAGCAATGTATACATACATATTTTATTGGCTCGTCCCCACGGGGCTTTTCAGAGTCGATGTTACATTAAGTGCTCAAAAATCCCAACTGGCAGGAGTCAGATCCGTTGGATATTTACACCGCGCAGCCAAGGAGTTAAACTCGGGGCGACCGAGAACAAATCCAGTGAGTGGCAGGTGGAGGACTTGAACCTGATAACAAGTCCAGCGCCCTAACCACCTAGACATAAAGTGTTGTGTCTGTGTAGTGGAACTGTACATATTGGGCAAATTTATAGTTGCAAATATCAAGGAGACTGGATTCCATATTAACCCTTTATCTTCCATAAGTGATTAACATGTAGCTTCTCCTTATGATATCCATATCTTATCCAGCAAACA